ACATGTAATGCACGTTCCTGGCAAAGACAACTTTCACTCAGGACGAACGTTATGCATTGTCCTGCTGTATCCTCAATCGGCGATCGCATGCCATTGGCCATCGGCTTTTTCTCTGCACAATGGCATAGAGAGAATAGGATCAAGAGCTACCCGCACTGCCGCAGAGATCTCGTTCTTCTCTATCTCTGCTCTGGAATGAAGACTTCTGCATCTGAAGGAGCCATGTACATGTACATGTACTAGTAGAGTGTAGACAACGACTATGTGTAGACAAAAAAAAAGAATTGTTTGGCTCCACCGAAATTATAATTATTATTGTTCTAGTAATATCCAGAGTCATCTGTAGTGTAGGGTGTGCACAATCATTAAAGGGGAACTACACCCAAAAATCAAAACTTCATGGTCCGTAGAGTTTTGGACGCTGAGTCGAATGGTGAAGGTCCCACTTCGATCCGACCAAGCGTTCTTGAGATATATCAGTTTGCAATAATTATTGTCCTTTTCGGGTCCGTGCCGTGACGTCACAAACCCGTGACGTCATTGAGACTTGGTGATCCTTTGGCCAGATCCAGAAACACTGGGATTTCGCATCTTCTTTCTGTTTGTCCATGGAAGAAGAGGGTATTTGTGTCATCATGGCTTCTGGCTGTGTCCTGCACCAATTTCTGAAGGATTGTGCTTGGCACAGGCCGAGCAGTGCACCATAGCAGCTATCAAGCGACATAATTATTTGCTTGACAATTTAGGGACTACCGTGAATGTAAATCCTTCGCGTGTGTTCCAGCCATTTGGCAGAGGAGGATTTTCAGGAGGAATATTATGGCACTCATCCGATGCGGACGCTGGTGGATGAAACTGTGGTGCGTCCTTTTTCGCACGCCACACTGTGAAGTGTCAGTCGAAAAGCGGAGGTGAGTGCAATATTTCAAAAACACTAGCTACTGTATGTAGTTCTTTCTTTTCCAAAGCATTTGTAGAATTGTTTTGGACTACATCACTACGAAATGTGAAGCTTTCCGAAACCGGCCTGATGAGGTGGACGGCAGTAGATCTCCTGTTTCCCTAGGCTATGCTGCGTGCGATCGATGAACCTGTCTGCGATTGCTGTTCTTGATTTTACAGGAAGAAGATCAAGAGCGGCTGTACCATCGGTCGCAGTGACTCACTGTTGAGCTACGACCACTGCCACCGCCCCAAGGTTATAGGAAGGACTGTTTGCAGCGCCAGCGCCTCTAGCTGGCATGTTTTTTTCCTGTATGAACACACAGTATGTACTGCTGATAAGCTACATCACGCAATGACCCGCAGTTCAAGGAGAGAAGATAGTCCACATACCGGCAACGGTGTACACCTATTCGGGAACTCGTTGGGTTTTCTCAGTATGGATGCAGATGAGAGCCAGACATTATTATTATTGTGTGTATGCGTGCAAGCGCGTGAGTGTGTGTGTGCGCGCGCACGCGCGTGAGTGTGCGCGCACGAGCGTGAGTGTGTGTGTGCGCGCGCCCGTGCGCGCACGTGAGTGTGTTTGCGCGCACGCGCGTGAGAGACAGACATTATTATTGTGTGTGTGGGTGCACGCGCGTGTGTGTGCGCGCGCACGCGCGTGACACTGAGTGTGTGTGCGCGCGCACTTGCGTGAGTGTGTGTGTGTGCGCGCACATGCGTGTGCTTTTGTGTAATGTAATATAACATTCCAAATATATTCACGTCATCTATTCTGTGTTCTCCTTTATGTCATTCTCTCCCCATTTGCGGGAGGGACATGGAATGACAAGTAGTAGATGCATTGCCGTTAGTGATCCTGCGGGATGTGTGGGTATGCAACCAAGTGCATGAGTGCGCGCATGTGTGCGTGCACGAGCATGTGCACAGGCACTTGTATGCTTATGCACTCGTGTGCGCACGCGCTTGTGAAATTGCGTGTCTGCGTGCGTGAGCATGTGTGACTACTATACTATGTGCCCACCAAGGTGAGCACATGTGCGTGCGTGTGTGTGGGGCGCAGGCGGATATGTGCACACATTTTAGAATGATTATCAAGGACAGAGCTGTTCCGGTAATGCAGTCATGAGACACCACAGTAGGGCAAAACGCACTCAATATGCTACTGTGCTGCTGCTGCTGCTAGAGTGCACAGCGTAATTGTTGGTACACAGCTACGTGAAATACAAGAGAACGTCTCAGCATTCTGTAAAGACTAAGTGATAATGCAAAAGGTGAGAATGTATTTCGCCACAATACGAATTGAGTGCAGTCCACTTATGTGAGATAAAGCACAAGTGAACCGATACACATTGCACGACTTGCACGGAGATAATGCTAGCCATGTTACGCAGCAAACTCCATGTACAGGAGTACGAGTGAGGAGACTATTGATCTGAGTACTGTGCGAATACAAAATTTCACACAATTTACGATATGAAGAGAACGATTCGATTTGTGAGCATTACGTAGGACTATACTGTGAAAACACTTACGGATTGTCAGGGTTGTCTGAGCTGCTTTGGCTGCCGCTTCATTTCGAAATAGCCCAGCCAACCGGTTGCCAGATGTTGCTGATGGAGAGCGACTTCTCCAATTGCAGTAATTTCTGCTTCATCCACATTTACAGCCCGATTGGAAGCCACCGCTTGCGCTGCCATATCCTTTCCTGAAAATTTCGGCTCATGCCCGAAGCCAAACATTTTCAGCTCAGGCTCTGAGCTTTCAAGCTCGTCTGATACGTCGGAATCGCTCATGGTGAGGACGTCTTTGTCAGAACTATTCCTTTCACATACGAAAATACCTGTACTTCTGAGCTTGGCCCAGGCAAGCAAGTCTCAATGACGTAGAAGGGTGTGTTGGGGGTGTGTCGCGGCCGCATGACGTCATGGCGCGTCCCCCGAAAGTACAATAGACCCTTTGCACAATAACGGTCACGTGATCCGAGACGGGGCATCCTCTTCGATTTTTGTGCAGAGTATCAGTTGTTGAGCATGGTGGAACATTGTATTTTTCCATTTTGGAGATGGAGGAGAGAGTGTCGAGTGGTTTGCCATCGATGGCCTTGGAGCCCGTGGACGAACTGTCAAATGAAGATCGGTTGTGTAAGGAACTGAACAGTTTTCTGCTGAATGAGGGTGCGTATCTGTCTGGAAAAAGAAGGAGTTGTTGGAGCGGTAAGATTTCCGCATTCAGTGGATATTTCGGATTACTGTAGATTGAAATTTATTTTATTTTCTCTACCTTCTCTCCTCTGTCGATGTAGAGAACACTTCTCTATGCAGAACCCTGATGCTCCTAGAACTAAGAAGGGCACCACTTCCTCGAGTGTACCTTCATCATGCCCAACATTTCATGCGTCCGAGTGGATGAGTGATGAACCTCTGTTTCCCAGAGTGAGTGCCAAACCATGCTTGCCGGCTCATCTCCAACGCAGGGGCAAGTCGCCGACGACAGTGAAGAAGGAGCTGATGGAGTAGTACTAGTGAACAAGCCCGTGGATAGTGTCCATGAGTTTTACTTTGGTGGCTATGTGCATAATGTGAAAGTCTGTCATATCGTGCACACAGCCACAGCTCGAACTCAGATGACTTTCTCCGCACACCTGAGCGACGAGGCCGCGTCTCTCTCCACTTCAACATCAGCAGCTCGAGCAGCGCCAGCAAGCAGTCGATCTTCCAATAGCGAAGACAGGGATGGGTCATGCTTTTTCTCAAGCTCCAGAGTCTCTTGGCAGGGCGTTCCATATCTTCGCAAAAGCAAGGATGAAAGTCGTCATGGACAAAGTGTTCCGAACACAACACTGTAAACGATATCGCAGCACTGCGGCCCTCTTCTCGCCAGATAGCCAGGATTCCAGAGTGTGGAATGCCAGCATCACCAGGGAACGCATGGAAAGACAAGTGAGTTCCTTAGACTAACGTTAGGGATGACGGTTGCTGCAAACAAGAACCCAACAGTGGTCCTTGGAAAGCATTTCGGGACTTCTTCCTTCAGAACTAGAAAAACTAACTTCAAAATGAAAAAAGGCTGGGGAGTACATACATGAACATCGCGTCGGGACCGTGAAAACACAGCCTGTCACAGGAAACTTGATCACGTCCTGCAGCAAAACCATGCATGCTGGTTGCATGCCAAGTGTGCAGCGCGTGCACAGCATGCCCCGTCTCGACCCCTCTCGCTTATTGCGCAAAGGGTCTATTTAAACCGAAGATATCTCAGGAACGCTTGGTCGGATCGAAGTGGGACCTTCACCATTCGACTCAGCGTCCAAAACTCTACGGACCATGAAGTTTTGATTTTTGGGTGTAGTTCCCCTTTAATAATCATGTACAGCTGTACATGTATTTAGACTAGAGGCGGGATGATCGATGAATCAATGGATGTCAAACGAATGACAGATCGCTGTACACGTACATAGTCATAGTCATAGTCATGGCCATGGCACAAAAATCGAAAATGAGAGAAACCAGCCTACCTGGACTGCTTCGGCCGGGTTCAGTCTTCAGATGGCTCACCCGATCAGTAGGATCGCACGATACATACAATGATAGTCATGTACAGCTGCACCGGTATGTGCGCAGTGCGCAGAGTCGCTCAAGCGAGATGAGAAGTGTGCTGTTGTGGTCACGCCATACCACATTTTTACCACAACTGGCACAAGTGGTTGGCAACATGTACAATGAACGGACTCACATTTTGGGAATGCTAGCATATGCAGCATAGCACCTCAGTCGAGTCCTCAGTGGTGACCATGGTGACAGTGGCGTGTGAACTCTCTGGCTAGCTGGGGCTGTACACCGTCGACGCGTCCTACTCTTCTGTTGACTGAGTCTGTACGGCTGTGTGGAGAGCTAGAGCCTAGCCTCAGCCCTAGGTAAGCCGTGGCATCACTGGGACTGGCTGAATCGGCCACTACTGGCACTACTACTACTAGTACTAGCACTTCTCTCCATTTCCCACTGTACTACGGCACTCTACAGGCGAAATCGCACCACTTGACATGGCTTGAATTTGATTTTGAAAAGACGCCACTCCACTTGCATCCTCTGCGCTGCACGCTCCACGTCTAGGTCTGTTGCCAGTAATTTTGTTCCAGTAAAAAGCAGCTTTGTGCTTGAGCAAGTCAGAGGCACTTTGCTGCGGTAGCTAAACATTTACGGTGAGCATTTCACGGTCTTCTTCGGCCAAAACGTTGGATAGTGATTTGCGTGTGTAAACTTCGTACGCTTGAGTTTCCTGCGTGTGGCAGTGTCGGTTTGCTTGTGGAAGCTGAGCCTGACACGGACGGTGCAGCGACTGACAGAGACTTCAGAGGTGCTGGTAGCGTATGTGCTGGTAGTGAGCTTCAGAAAGGAAACGTCAGCCGGCTAGTTGCATCGCTCTGTTGATCAGTGTATAGATCGCGCGAGAGAGGGAGAGAGAGTCGGACTGGGGAGTTTGTGCTCCCTATCAGTTACACGAGAAAAGCAACACACGACGTGCTGTCGTTACTGCTGTTGCTGCTGCCATGACGAGGAGGTGTGTTGGGGGTTGGTACCGCCATGGCGGGTCTGCTCAGCAGAAGTCACTGTACGCATCCTGGAGCTGTTCGTGTCGATTCGCCATCACTCTGCTGGTGTTGGCCGTGGCTACTTCGCATGCACGCGCCCAGGTAAGATGTTTGAACTTTTTGTGAAGGCTTCTCCTCGGCCCTGCATTTGAATCCGTACGGAATATCATTTTCACAATGCCATTGTGGAAACTACAGCAGTGATTGTTTATGCATGCCGTGGTCGAGTTAGGGATGTGTGATGGTGTCTCGGTAGGGTTAGGTGTATTGCTCGTGGCCTGGCGCCTGTCAGAGAAATTGTAGGTTTCAACCACGGCGGCATGTTGCTTTGCGGGCGGTTTCAGGCAACAAAACGCTACAACTTTGTCAACTTTATAATTATGTGGTCGCCTGAACTGTTTCCCCCTATGTCCAGCTCTTGTAGTTTAGTGTTCCTACTTGAAATTCCGGCTTTCTATTATTTAGTTTGCGAGTAGGGAAAACTCTAGAAAGGCTACTACTGCACTGGTACTCTCCGGCACATGTGCTGTGATGGTGCCATGCTCGCTTGTTCAACTAAAATTGATTGCTCCGACTCGTACTCGTTCAGTCACTCTTCGCCGAAGGCCTCAAGTACTAGTAATACTAATAGTTCCAACACTATGTGACTGAATGCTAGTGAACGGTCGGGTCTGCTTTCGCGATAGGCTGCTGGCACTGCACTGCGTAGGTCTAGTGCTGTATTGGTACCGGTATACCATGGTATGTTCAAAGATTTTTTAGGGAAATGGTAGGTCTACTGTTGTTGGAGTGACGGAGAATGCCCAGACCTCTGAGCCGATGTGTAACGCCGTTTGGCTAGATTGCCTTCGTTTGGATGTGGCGTGATCCATCTGGTGTCCGCACATTCTTAGCATAGTTACATCTCACACGTTGCCTTTACAAATTAGTCGACGCCTTTATCAACACCTCATCTCCCGGGTAGAGGCACATGGCATTGGTGTTGCTACTGCTCCTGCTGCCAACACCAAACAGAAGGACTCCACTTCACTGGTTTAGGTGAAGTGACTTTTATATTTTCAAGGACCCTTTTGAAAGTGTCTCCAGTCCAATCATTCCACCAAACCAAGGACATGGTATGATGTGTACAATCGTGATTGTATGAGTACTGAAGATGCCACTTGCACGAGCAGGAAAACAAGAGGTACGACCAACTCAAGATCAAGGCATAGGGAACAGAGGAGCAAACTCATAATCATGATAATAGACCAAAGTAATTAGTTACGATCACGTTTTATACGAAGCTCCAAACAAAGTCGAGTCGTGGCAAAAGTCGCTCGTGTGTGCGTTTGCAATGACGTGAACGCGTTCAAAATGACAAATCATGGGCTCGATCGTACGATCGTGCATTCGTGGCAGTTTGTAATTTTTTTGAAGTATTTATAGTTGTAACGAGCAAGGAGGAGAGCGAAATGGCTGACACAAGAGGACTTTTGTCGGAATACTGGCGTTCCAACTAGAGACGCTGGGTCGTAGCGCTGGCGTTTTGCCCTTCGTGGTGGCAAGTGTAGGCTCAGCGTGTTTCTCTTGCAACGAGCTTTCCAGGAAGCCCAGAATCGTAAACATAGGCCAGGGAGACTAAAGCTATGACTCGGAGAATTGTGCAATTTGAGGTGAGTCGAGGCAGGATACTGTGGAACATGTAATTACTTTACCGTGTTTGCCGGAGACCGGGAGTATAACACGCAGCTGAGCATAGATGCGCACCCCCTCTTTTGTGTAATGTTTTGGCGATTCAAGGTCTATCCGGAGCTCCGAGTATAGTGCGCAACCTAAATTTGAGAGCATTATTGACACTACTATAGCGACCATTTTCCATTTGTATATTGCTCATGCTCTACCGATGTGGTCTCTTACCAATCATGCGCTGTTAGGTGTCCAGCATTCCCTTCACATACAGCGCATACTCTGGTGCCTTTTAGCCCAATTTAGGTTTCCTGGCTTCTGTTCCGAAATTACCGAAATCGAAATCACACCGAAAACAACTTGTTATACAGTAGTCACATCAGCTCATTATACATAGCCATTGTCGGTTTGGTATGCCCTGGGCTTTATCCTCCTACCTCTCTTGCCCAGTAAAATCTAGTTGTGTTGACAGATCTCAATGAGCACCACGCTGACTTCATTGTAGTTCTTTCACAGAAGAACCATGACAATACAGTGCTGCTCAACGAAATCCAGTCGAGTCACTCAAGTACGCTCCGCGCGTTGCGCAGCCCTAGACCTGCGAACACTGGGCTGCGAAATGATGCAAGGCGCTAACTTGAGTGACGCGACTGGATTTCACCGAGCAGTGCCGTACTTGGGTGACTAGGTCCTAGGAAAACGTATCTGCAAAAAGCAGGCTGGACTGCACCGCCTAATGCACAGGCTAGCTACGGTACGGGGGTCTAGGAGCTTGATGTCCATGCTTGATATCCTTGCTTGATGTCCATGCTTGATATCCTTGCTTGATGTCCATGCTTGATATCCTTGCTTGATGTCCATGCTTGATATCCTTGCTTGATGTCCATGCTTGATGTCGATGCTTGATATCCTTGCTTGATGTCGATGCTTGATATCCTTGCTTGATGTCCATGCTTGATATCCTTGCTTGATGTCCATGCTCTCATACAGGGAACTAGAATACTTCACTTGGTATGCATGACAGTTCTTCCAGATTTACTTGATATCCCGAATCAACATTTTAAAATTAGGAATGCTTGTAAGATATTTGTTCCATTGCCAAATAACTGTGTGTTTGTGTGTGTGTGTGTGTGTGTGTGTGTGTGTGTGTGTGTGTGTGTGCGCGTGTGCGTGCGTGTGTGTGTGTGTGTGTGTGCGTGTGTGTGTGTGTGTGTGTGTGCCTTGTATGCTTTATCAGGTTGCAGGTGGTGGTGGTGGCGGCAGCAGCAGCAGCAGCAGAGGAGGCAGTACGATAGGCATTGTTGTCTCATCCAGTAAGTTCCTTCACGCACCTGACCTAACCACACATCCACTACACTATGATCGGGCGGCGTAGAACACTTAGTCTGGAGAATGGCACACACTGAAGAACAATCCAGGCTAGATTCGCAGATCTAGGAACACGTGTACTGCTTTATACGTGATGTGAGCTCATCGCATGATGATCTCCATCATCGCGGAATAAGAACGAAACGACTAAAATCTGAACACTTTAGATCAATTCCAGGCTGCGCCTTGAGCCCCTCTGTTCTTCGGCGCCCGGTCTTAGTGTAAACTACACTTGGGCCGAGATGTAGGTGTGCGCCACTGCACATGCCCCCCCCCCCCTCCCCTTAAAATGTTCGACCCAGTTTCAGCATGCACATAATGATCATGCATGACATGCACCAGCCATCCTTCACATACAAGGTATGCGGCCGTGCACTCCCCTAACAGAGGGACCAGCTACGTCTGCCCAGTGTATGCAAACAAAACTCTCCATCGCCCCGGAATCTGCTCAGCGGTTGCTTTAGGGAAATTCCAACTACAGTCGCAATGTTGTGGCCTAGTGATTTTGTTTGCGTGTCACTGAATTGGCTCTGCTGCTGCTGCTGGTGCTGCTGTTTGTGGTCTGTCCTCTACTTGTTACCGAATGCGCAGGTGGATTTGATCTGTTTCTTGAAACTCCCGCCACGGAAAGCAACGGCAATGCTGGCGAGAGCGGCGTCAGGGACGACTCGTCGGCCATGTCCCAGTCGCAGGCGCAGAAGCTGGGATACGCCGGTGCTGGCGTGGCCGGTGTACTCAGCCTGTTCTTCATCATCCTGGTCACCCGACTCTGGACTATACATTCCATTACGCGCCGCGACCACCACGGCTCCTCCGGCAAGTATCACCGAACGCCGTCAAACTACAGCCCCCGTGCAAGCAAGGATGCTTCGGATCCTGCCATTATCGAGGCAACCATAGCGCACATCAACCAAACGGAATCCTACGTCCCAACCAGTGCCCGGCCGGAAAGAGCACAGGAGCTCGACGAACCGCTGAAGGTTGTTTCGGTGTGTCCAAGCGCCTCTCACACAACGTCACCCACAGTCGTGCAGACATCGAGTAATGGCACCCATCCGCAGCTCAAGACGAGTTCATCCATCGTGAGCAATGGCCGCCCCAAGGTTATACGCATTCACTCCGAGTTCGAGGAGATGGAATCGGATGAGGAGGCACCACCCGTTCCAAAGAAAAAGTCAGGTGCGTCCAAGCTGAAAATTGAAAAGGCCAAAAAGGAAGCCAAGTGACTATGCTCTGTGGAAAACTGGATGAGGCCATTTTTTAATTTTTTTTGTACCGACAAGGGGCTGTATAGCCCCAGACAATGAGTGGGGGCTCTCGGGCAAAGCTAGGTTTTGGGATACGAATTTTTCTTTTTTTCTTTATTGTGTTGAGCGGTTAAGTTGATTAGGAACCGCACCATAGTCTGTACATATTTGACCCCGTAAGTTATCGTATCCCTGCAAGATACCTGTCACACATCTAGACACATACACATCTAGACACATAGCGGCTTTCAAGGGGACCGGACCGCTGGATTTGACATTATCCAAAGACGTTGCCAATGCCCTTTTTGCCTTCTTGAAACTTTTTTTGGTTGTCACTGTTTTGGACCGTCGATTAGCAGTGTTAGTATATTGTTACAAAGTGTACCATGAAGCCGCAGTGACTCTGATCACAGGCTTTGTGTGCAAAGTCTGCTGGTCTCATCCATGGCACGTGTGTAGTGTGGCCAAGACTGATTGACATCCCGTGATGGTGTTGGCGCTCATTCCATTGTGAAACATGCTCGAATCCACCAGGTGAATTCATGTGATGTGAATGTTCTTGTATTAGGTCACATCACACTCTGTGTATATACGCACCATTGTGGCTCTCCTAACTCTATATCTTCGTGATATGTTTGCTGCCAAATTTCAACTGAATGATGAAGGGAACACTTTTTTAAATAGGCCCATGAATATTATAGTATTATTATATTTCGTGTAGGGAGCACCTTTCCTTTTTTATTTAGTTTTTTTTTTGTAAGAATATTAACATTTTCTACTCTCCTTCCATGCCTGACCTGGTCTTGTCGTGAGTATGAATGAGGCAGAGACAGATTGCTAAACTGCTAAAATCATTAGGTTCTAGGTGTGCCTGGGATCGTTTTATCTTCTTCGTAAGGAGGCTCTGCCATTTGCGGTAGTGAGCATTGTGGGGACCCGATGAGTGACTCTACTGCGCGGGATCAGTGTGTGTGTGTATGTGTGCGCGTGTGTGTGTGTATCTGACAGCCACACCCACAGAACCTACTGTCCACAGGGCTGTTCAATGGAATTGGATCGTTTGAGTCAAGTACATTATTGCTGTAGTTTCAACTGAGCACCATTTAACACGCCAGTGTTCGCAGGTGTAGGACGTGCAGCACACCGCCCGGTGTGCCACTGACTCGCATTATCGGGTTTCAGTGAGCAGCATTCGATCACTGTAGCTAGCAATTGGCTATACAGGACAAGGGAGAACGCGCGCGCGGGGTGGGGAGGGGGGGGGGGGGACTGATCACCCCGGTCTGGGGACACCACAGCTCAAGTCTTACAATCTGGAACCAGGAACGGTCATATCCTGTCACATTCGGGCAGAGTAAGTAGGTAGGTCGAAGCCATTGTATTTGTGTATGTTCTCAATGCTACACTTGGCAATGAGAGCTGCTGCACTGCCAGCTCGGATCACAAAACACTGCATGGCATGCAGGTGATTATTATGAGCGCAGCTGAATTAATGCATGGTACAGCTACCAATCCGCTGGCTGCCTATACACTTAGTACTAATACAGAGCACTACCAGCCCGCTTGCCAGATCATCCAACTACATGCACAACAGAACATCTCGTGATAATAAAATATTAACGCAACAATCATCAAAGGCGCTCAACGAGTACAAGTAAAAGTACTGCACTGTTGTGAAATGGCAAGGAACAAACTGGGTGAACAAGTTACTTCATATAATTAATTTTTACGGCGCTTAGCGAGCAAAGTTTACCCCACTAGAACAGTGTTTCTTTTCCTATGCTCGTGAATGAAGTAACTCAACATGGGTTCAATGAGTAAAATCAACTTCATCAAGAAAAAAATCGATAAGAAATATCTTTGAAACAGGCCTAGTGGGACATTACATTTCTCAGTTTTCGTAGAAATTCTAAGGCTCCCTAGGCAGACAAGAGTTCAGTAGAGAATTCCACATTGTGCAATGGTATCAAGAACAATCGGGACACACACACACACACACACACACACACACACACACACACACAATCAATTTTTTGCACCAGCTAGGAAGGCACTCTAGTCATTGAAAAGACTTTTAAAAGTGGCTTGATTAATCTTTCCGATCAGCTACACCCTGTCTCGTTCAGTTACTGCGTGCAACTCAAAGCTTTCCCTCTGTTCTTTGCACCGTATCTCCTTGCCCTGCCACCGCCGCCGTCGCTGTATCAGCCTCCACTCAGCGATGCAGAACAATAGTGCGGCTAGCACTGACATTAAGATGTGGTATACGAACTTGACACGCAGCTCACCAGTGCAGCGGCCTATCCTCTGGCTGTAGAACGCAGCCACACCCGTCGCCGTCCCCTGAAACAGCTTGTAGTTCGCAGAGGCAGCCTCCTGGTCACGAGCAAACGATGCTCCCAAAATAACTGTGAACATGAACAGTAAGGACAAAGAACAGAGCAAAAAAACTCACAGCAATATCCTGCAAGCTGGCATGTCACTATACCGTAATTCCGCGCATATAAGCCCATGGGCCTATATCCGGATATAAGCCCACCTCCGTTTATAGGCCCATGGGCTAATAAACAGACCCAAACACCGTAGTACAGCATGTCAGTGCAGACTACATTACCAGTACCGGTACCTATGGTAGGCGGACAACCGCGCACGGACTTGTACTTTTTCGCGTGCCAGCTGCCTTCAAAATTCGAATATAGGCCCAGGGCTAAAAAACGAACCTTATTACTGATTTATTTTCCCGGAAAATGCATTATTTCATATATTAGCCCATGGGCTTATATGCGCGGAACTACGGTATGCGCAGGATAACCAGCACAGTGAGGCTTCAGATCTTTCTGGGACATTTTCATATAAAATTGAGACCTCATGATTCGCTGGCAAGCCCACAGCCACAAGGCAAAAGCGACTGAAGAGAGCGAGTGCGAAAACCAGCACTTTCGCCTAGTGGTTGTGGGCTTGCCCGGGAGTCATGAAATCTTGAGTTTGAGACCCCCCCCCGCTGGCAGCAAGGAGTGCGTACAAATCTTCCTATTGCCGGTTGTGCTTCTATAGAACACACCGTATTTTCGTGAGTTTCAGGAGAATACTGAGCCGCAGCCAGATTTTTGTCACGAAATACAGGCATCTACCCTGTATTTCCTGGCTCATAATTTCATATGATCACCGTAGCATTAGGGGCTGTCCCTAAACACAATGATTGTCATCTATTTACTTAGAGACGTCTAACAGGCGTTTCTGGTGGGTTGGTTCGCCTGCAAGGCGTTTATAAAAAATGAATTTCGAAGCGCATACATACCATACTGTGCGTGTACTTCGAAGTACATGCACGTGATGTAGCACTGCTACAGCCAGTACAGGTAGGCGTCGAGACGCACTACACTGCACTGCACTGCACACGTCATGGCAGAGTAGACAGGGAGACAGGGGCGCATACATGCACATGTAACTGTTCGCTATGAAGGGTCAATTGTAATTGTATGGGTTCAAAGTTCAAACAGGGACATGGACAGGGACATGGACAAGGGTTCGTTATAATAATAGCGAATTTCGTGATATTATCACGACATTCGGTATACGCGAGTTCGCTAAAAGTGGAGTCGACTGTACTGTATTTGTGTGCATAGTATGGTGTTTATCATGAGTGGTATTATCTGCATTTGGGGGGGGGGGGGGCTTTCTGGGGGTGGGTGGGTCAAGAAAGAAACGCCTGTTAGACGTCTCTAAGTAAATACATGTATATACGGACGCATTGACTTTTTTGGGTGAATGAAGAATGTTTAAAGTGCAGCGTATACATGTACTCCGTTAGATACTGCAGTTGACACATGCATATCACTAAGCGCATAAATCATGCACTTCACTTAATTGCGTACCTGTCACCGGTACAATCCACATTGCGTCAACAGCTCCCCATGCTGCCACCAGTCCAAAGAGCAGTGGAGCGTTCCCTGTCGGTTGCCACAACAGCAGCGTCAAGAGAACGCTCGACTGGACCAGCATTGCGCAGACAACAATGACGGCCTTGTTTGTATGCTTCATCGCCGTCGAAACCACCAGCAGGGTCAGGAAATTTGCTGCGCTGTAGCACACAATCGAGTAGCCAACGTATGCCACGCCGAGGCATGGTGTTATGAAGAACTACATGCAGAGAGCAGAACAAAACACACAGAACCAAGAGTACATGAAAACCAGAGTGTGCAGCTCGGATGGGTTGCTGTCACGGCGCAATTCCGTGATTACATCATTTTAGTGATGTAGTGCGTACAAGCAGGATTCAAGCAGGTCTCTTTCTGCACAACTGCAGCTCAGTTGTACGCACTGCACCATTTCCTGCCTCAGATCTGCACCAAATATGATGTAATCACAGAATTTTGCCTGGACAAACACCCATAGTAGAAAACCCCAAGCTGCACACTCTGGTTTTCATGTACTCTTGATGGAACCAATGGTAGATGTTTCCCAATCAGTGTGGAGGAAAAT